TATATCTTTATTACATAGTCGTCTGGCCACTTTCTATATTCTCGACACCATCTGATTTTAACTCTTATTATAACAAAACTTAAAAATAATAAAATATTCACTCACAAATATAAATTAATCACTAATATTTAACACAAACAATCTTTTTATATCATGACACTTTGAATGTACAAGAAAAACTTGATGTCAACTTAGAACCTTCTAGGCCAATCTTAATATTATACAATCTCTAGCTAACATACAAATTACATTAAACATACAGCTTACGGCACTGACCCCCTTCTTGGATTGTGAATTCTCTTGAGCAATCCTAATAAAAGAATAAATAAAACACTACACTAAATTTTTATTCACTTTTATTTTTTTGGTGGTTTTCGTTTTTGAGGCCCAGAGAGTTTAGTGATTTAATTGATTAATTTAAATTAGTGTTTCTGATTATTTCAACAATCAATTAATCAAAATTATGATTAACAGAATGTCATCAAAATAGTCAACTAATCAAAATTATGGTTTCTGATTATTATTATTTTCAGTTATTCAAACCACAGAAGTAACTGAAACATTGCTAGTGTTTGTTGCTCAGCATAACACTGCATAATGAAATATCTGTGTTCTACCCAATTTTATAAAAGTTTATTCAGTTTTTGATTATTTGGGGGAGTGGGATTCAAAGGTCTTGGGTTCAATTCCCATTGCAATCAAACTTGCTCACCCTTTCTTGTTATGATAAAGCTGCTTCAGCTATCTGCCATTGTCATTAATTTTGAATTGTAGACTAGAGGGAAGGCTACTGGCAAGCCATCACTTGCCACAAACTTTTATTTAGTTATTCTTCTTCTGAACTATTGAAACTTATTGGCATCACCATCTGCTAACTTTTGTTTTTTGGCTTGTACATACCATGGTTTGAAGAAACTGTACTAATTGATTAATGAGGCTATAAATTAACCGATTAGCACATACCACTAATCACCCAGCTCATTTAACAGGTAATTGGTCATTTAACTTTCCTTAAATTTATAACTGTTAGAATTGATCCTATTGTAATATTATAATAGTTGTTTTGAACCAATTTTTTTTTTGTTTTGAGTATGTGCAGATTTCACATAACACAATGATCAAGAAAATGGTTAAGTTGATCTTATTTCAATTTACCTTTGTTATTCTTGAAGTAGTTAATACATATTACCACCCAAGGAGAACATTGTTTAGTGAAAACTTGTATTAGAATGTCAACAGCAGTTTTTCAGTCATTGTTTAGGTGATATCTAGAGGTTACAGCCCCACTTATGTGTAATGAGAATAACCAGTTACATGATATCCCATGTCAAACTTGGTAAATGTGAAGTTTCTTTAAAAGTAAGAAACTGTGGATTTATAAATTCTGATCTAGAACATCACTGATGTCAGTATAGTAGAATTTGGTGGTCAGTAGTCAGTCCAGTGGTCCAGTAAAACTGATGATCCAACATAAGCAAACTGCAAGTGCACATAATGTTTGTGTTTAATGTTTTTTATTTTGTAATTCACTTTGTGTCCAGTCTCATAACTTCATTTAATAATGGCTCAGTTAATAAGAGATTTAGTACTATGTACTGTTCCATAATTGCCATCCTGAGTTAATCTCCTATTATCTAGCATACTTATATCCGAGAACTTGTGAACTTGTATTCAGTTTTATCTGAGTATAACACACAGCTACATATATATGTATCACGAATGACAATGCAGAACAGGTTTCATACATTAGTGGTGTAGTTGCTGTATTTCTACTGCTCTTATGTTTTGAAATATACCTGCAGACTGCAATGCAAACACTTTTAGTGTAGGTGTACAATACTATAATGCACGGGGCATTTGCTAGGACAGGCACTTACCCCCAGGGACTATCAATTTTGCATATCCTTAGTTATAGCTTTGAACTTTGATATCATTTTGTCATCTTGCCCCACTCTGTTATTTATCCTGCAGACACCCATGGTATAATGTTGTATACTATTGCATTAATTTAAGGTAAACAGACATTGTTAATAACCAGTAATATACAAACTACTATTTGACAAATGTGCATGTGTGTGTCCACTTATAACTGGAAACTTCTGAACAAACTGCCATTACACCTGGTATGTGCTATAACAGCCCCCATCCCACAGAGTAACAGAGAGTTGGTGATTTGACCTGGCCTCTATGTCTTTCTCATGCAATGAGCAAGTACATAAGCTAATAACTATGAAACATACTACTATTATTAATGTAGTACTGAATAGTAGATTAACAATAACATAATACAGTGAATACTAATCCGAAAAGGTAATGCTTATTGTTTTAATAATAAAATCGTATTTATAATATTCATACTTTTATAGTTTGGAATGTAACTATACTATTACTAGTCTATAGTATAAATTTCATTTTAATTTTTATGATTAACTATGAATTTATGCTACTTTTAATTTTTAATCAGTGAATACCTCTAATACTATTAGTAATAGTAATACTAACACCAAATAATAGCAACATACTATATAAATATATCTTAATAAGTCTAAACTTAAATTTAATTCAAAATCACATTTATTATAGTTTATAAAATATAAGCAATCTAACATTATTCTTAACCTATGTTAAGTACATAATTAAAAACACAACATATAAATACCTTTATTATTCGACGAGTCAAAGTAACCATTTCAAATAGAGAAATCGTTCTAAGCTTCCCCTTCCACTAACTTGTCGACCAATATAACTTAGTCCTTCTACACTAAACTACAGTGTTATGATACAGCTGCGGATTCAACTCATTAAAAGATGGCCGAAACTTGGGTAGCGTTCTCTGTGGTTCAGTATAGTTACTAAGGGGAAATATATATATAATATATTAAACTTAACATAAACAACGTTGTATAACTTTTAGTGTTGATATAGCATCCCTGTTAAAATATTTTCTGAGATTTTTGCTTTCAATGTACAAAGAGTTTTGGGTGTCTCATCAGAGCAAGTGTTCTGCCACTTCTATATCCTCCAGTATATATCTTTTTGATTTTAAGATTACCATAGTTCCTGAGTTTTATGTACACTTGATTATTTGTTTTTGTCGTGATGATTGCCAACTTCCCGAGACACTAGGACGTCAATATAAACCTCGACTAGCTCAACACAATAAAGATAAGTAAAAGTGTTTGTTCCTATGAACGCATGAAAATGTTTTCGTAGAATGGAAAAATGACATACATACTGAGCTGCAAGAACAATATTCTATAACACTACATAAAAGACAAAAATAAGAAATTCTATAAACTGATCCAGCTTTTCGAAAAATAGACCTTTCTAAGCTTCTTACACAGGGGCTGATGAAGAAAGAGCTACCTTTCAAAAGCGCTTTGGTTATAGGTTGTTTATTATTTTTGCCTTAAATTTATTTTTTGAACCTACCTATTTTCCTAATATTGTGAATTTTTTAATATCAAAGTACAGCTAATTTATTAGTATTACTAACAACAGAAACCTGTAAAGTACGGTGTTACGTGGACAGCTGCCTACTCCCATTACTTTTCTCTCTATATCCACCTGTTAGGTATTTGTATTATTCAATTATACGTTGACGTTCAGCATACGTGCATGAATGCCACATGTTTACAATATTTTACGCAGTTTTCTTAAAATAACCGATCAGCACTAAACACATTTAACAGTGTATATTGTTAAACTTAACATCAGCCGTCGTTATATGACTAACTGTATGTTTAGTTATGACATCATAGTTTGATTTGTGCTAGTGGTTGAGGCGTTTAAATGTGATACTGAGTGATATACGTGGATTATTATTTGCCAATAGATGCCCGCATCTGAAATAATAAATAATACTCAATTGTTTCATCACAGTGTAGTGTAAGACTCAAAACATTTCAGATTAGTCACGTGAAAGTGTGGTATATGAAACATTACAGGTGTTTCTTTTCTCTGTTAGTTTAAACAAGTGAACATTAATTTTCACCAAAAATTTTCAAACTTATTCACACGTAGGTGCGTTCTGGTTTGACTTGTTATCGTCCTAATTAGTTTTCATATGTCATTTTCATTTAGTGCCACTAAATTCTCCCTGTAGGGTTTTACTGGTTTGGTATTATGTAATTTCTGCAGCAAAACTGAGTGTTTAATAAGTTTCTGATACCTGGAATAAGATGGTATGATCTACTTATTTTTATGGGTAGAATTACAAGTAACATGGGTAATATGAACTCTAGACAAAATAATGCTATTGTATTTTTTATATAGTGGTCAACTTTCTCATTTTTATTCAGAACTTATTCAAATCTTCTGAATTGGAGATATCTCCATTTTAAATAGTTATGTTGTCCAGTGCAATCGTATATTTGGTTTGCATTGATTTTAAATAAAAAAAATAGCAAAAAGAAAAAGCTATACCATTTCTCTTTTCGTTTTTTTAAGTTGGAGTTTATCATTCCCAGAATACTAAGACTCTTTTTCTTGTGCATAAATTGCAGATGTTTTGTTTTCACATTCCTCTTAATTTGCTTATTTTTGAAATTTAAATCAGAATTGTGTAAAAATACCACCTGCGATTTATCTTTTGTCTAATACGTCTGATTTAAATTTTAAAAAGGATAAATTAAAAGGACTGTGAAAAAATCTGTAGTTAACATGATTTTTATCACAAAGTGATGAAAACTTGTGTAAATGTTCATCATGTTATTTGATCTGTGCAAGTCGTCTGTCACTTTTTAAAAGGCTAATGGAGCTAAAACTGAAATGACTGCTATGAGAGAGATTTATTATCTATGTAAATGGCATTATTGTCTGTTGTTGTACGTTTTAGTCTGCTGCTGAGAAATTAAGAATGCTTTTTCATAGATAAGGAAGGCCTTCTTCTTATTAAAACTAATATACATGTTTCTTATTTAAATAGAAAATATTAATGGAGTGTCCAGAGATCCTACAAATAGTTCAATGATTATTGACTGACCCTAGCCTGTAACTAAAACAAAAGTCCACAGCTTTCTAGGCTTTGAATTATATTACTGACTTTTCTTGGCCAATTCCTAACCAAGGCTGATATGCATTTCAGATAGGTGAAGAATATGATCAGCATTTCAGTTGCTTAAACGTGCTATGCTTGAGGATCTATTGTTATTGTTACGTCTCCGTTTGTTAATTGATTTCCCGTAAATTCGTTCCGACGAAACTTTAGCGACACAAGTCCTTACTTAATAAAACTGGTTTATTCTTTCCGAATATAACTTTACGATACACTTAATTTCAACAATCGCGCTAAAACAAACGCTATACCAACGAACGTGCTCAACTTCAATAATACTTTCTCTGACTGCAGATCAATTACTCATTGTCTACACACACATTGTCCCGTCACGTTGTGACCCTCTTATATATATACCAGCCTACCCTATATCTAGTAATCTCCCGACTATTCCCGAAGGTTCGAGAGGAGTGGCGTGACTCTAGTCACGTGACCTCGCTGACGCAACATTATTTTATCTTTGGAAGTCGTTGTCCATTTATCTTAGACACTGATATATGAAGGTACGTTTTCATAAACTCATTACATTATCAATGTGAATTAACAAAATGTTTCAAATTTCCAGTTTTAGAATAAATTATTTATGTAGTATTATATTGTCATTGTATATGATACAGAATGTTAATTTTAAATTCTTTATTTTTGTCCTAACAAACATGTCGGCCACTTTTTTTGTATTGATCTTCCGTTCATGATAAGTGTTCAAAAGATCAAGACAAGATCTCCCCATTGGTGCTGCTGAGAAGATTAAGAGACATTATATAACACACTAAGATATAAATGAATATTTGCTGCTGTGACTGCCTCAACCAAGCAATTACTGTTTCCTATCTGGTCTTTCATCTTGCTACTTCATTGGTGACCACTCCATCAATAAAAAAAAAAACATCTGGGAAATAATCTTGTGGTATCACTGTTTCTCATCCTGCTACTTAATTGGTGAACATCTCATAGTCAGAAACAATATCTTGTAGATAATCCTGTGCGCTCAATTGTTCAAATATTGCTCCTTCATTGGTGAAAGTTCCATTGTCAGCAATAATATCTGGTATATAGGCTGCATGTATGCCTCTCACTAACTGGTTTATCAAGTGTACAAATTACTTTGGAATTATATACTGTACCTTGAACCTGTCCATATAGAAGCCTTTTCTCACGTTCCATAATTAAAAGCTCAATGAATGTATAATAAATATTTCGTCTCCAGAACTCTCAGGAATTGCTGGCAGGAGCGTTTGGTTAATTCTGTTGCCAACCTCTGTTCCTAGGGGGTGACGGGTCTACTCCAATATCAATAGTGATATGTATTGCTTTATCCTACAGAGCATCCCAAATAGCGGGATCGTTTCGTTTCCCAGTAAATTAATTGGTGATCACTTTGGCCTGTATGACAACTTCCATCAATTCATACGACTTTCAGTGCAAAAGCATGGAGAGTGGTACGATAGATGACAGAATGTACTCAACAGCTACTATGTAACAATAAAGTCAAACTGCAAAATTTAATAGGTTTTTTGTGTGCCCATAGCAACTCAACAGATATTCTAGAGCTGAATCTATTGTATTGAACATCAATGTATTTAAGGATCTGCGAGTGTTACCCATCTGGTTTTGTACAAACACTGGAGTTTGATGCATCCTTCCATTTCTACGTGGCTGATAGCATCGTTGTCGAGGTTTTCCTAAAAAATCAGCAGTTGTTTTGCTAAACAATTAAATGCAAATGTAATCTTTTACATTGTTTCTTCAAGTGTGATGCTTATTACTCCTCTGATGAATGTATGAAGCGAGTTTTAGGCCAAGAGCTTTTCCGTGTGTATATAATGCACCAGGAATTATGTTCTTCACTCGAGTTTGAACTCTCCTACATCTATCAGTTATGGTGGAGGCACCATGGTATCCTTGGCTCTCTTTTGTTTTTGTCGATACCTTTATCACGTAGCTGTGATAGAAACGTATCTAATGAAGTCTCGCTTATAGTTGAATGGCACTCTGCAAAAGACAAGAAATCCTTTCACAACTGGTTACTTTCTGTGCCAAAAATGTTCAAGCACAGGGCCCCTTGCTCAATTCTTGTAGCATCAGTTACCTCACCAGCAATAAATCCAAAACAAAGAACACGACTGCATGCGAGACAATGTTTTTCAATATAATATCTCCACAAATTCCAATCAACTCGTTCTGTGTATCTGGAGAGGTTTACGTAGTTTAAAAACCAGCGTTCAACAAATAATCTTTAAGTGTTTGGCTTGATATTTGAGTAGAACTATGAAACTGCTAGATCTTTTTACGTGACGCCTAGGGGATACGTTCTGTTTACCACATGAAAATATAGTGTCTGTTTTCTCTACAAAAGTGTTGTAGGCGGAAGTCAAAGCGCAACATCTGACGACGACAGATGAACATTCGACTTGCCGTTGTTACTTATAATCTTGGAAACGTTAATCCATTCAGTGAGAAGATTTGTAACAAACAGTTTGGTCTTGGCATTTTTGCCGGCAAAAAGTTAACACAGTGTACAATATACACCATCTACACACTTGGAATATCTTTGCCATGAGTTTTTCACAAACCAGTGACTTTGAAGTTTTCAGTGCTTGCCAACTGAAACTTGCAATAACAGAAACAGCATACGTAAAATATATATTTTGATTTGCTTTATGAGATAAGCCATATTTATTGTTATGAACACCCCACTTTTAAATAACGCGCTCTTCTATTTTCTGTGAACTACTTTATCCCACTTATGCAAATAAATGTGCTAATGGAC